AAAGAAACTTGGGAACAATAAGTGTTTCTAAGGAAATGAAGTTAGTGAATTGTCACTTTCTAAAAATCCATACTTCTTACAGCAGCTCACATCTGATCTTCACTGATCAGAACACCTAAAACACAAGCTTAGTTGCTTTCTGGCTTCCCAGTAGGAGCAAATTGGTGGAGATTTTGCCAAAAGTAACATGTATCACCTGCTAGTAAAGAGAAAAACTGCCGAGGTGTTGAGTGAACAGACGTTAAGTAATGATATTTGTTGCATAATTCTGACCCCGGCACACTCATTTATTGCCACTTTTCAAAGTGTTTTGCCTGCATGTATGTCTGTGTACCACTCCCATTCCTGGTGCCCACAGATGCCAGGAGAGGACTTTGAATCCCCCGGAATGAGTTACCAGATGGTTGTGAGCTGAAGTGTGGGTTCTGGGAATCAAACCTGGCTCTTCTGGAAGAGCAGCAAGTGCTCTTAACTACTGAGCCGTCTCTCCAGGCCCCACTTATTATCATTTCTCAGTTGCTCAGTTGGCCTGTTGACACAGAGCGGCTAAGCGCCAGTGTATTGGGCTTGTAAATCTGGAGGAACGATGACAATACAAATAGCAAACGCTTTGGGTAATTTTAGAAATATGCATTTTCCTTTAATAATTTAGCAAGGTAATTCTTTCCCTGCTAAATTGAGAAATCACCTGATCATGCCTTTTTCTGTCAACGACTTTCATGTTGTTATATATTAAAATAGCTGAGGGTAATTATGGGCATTTTCCCCTTGTAAAGAGTTGCAGAGGGGACTTGAATCTCCATTTAGTTATTCAGCAAACATGTATCTACCTCTTTGCTGAGGCAGACACCTTGCTGTGCATTTACCATGTGGACCAACGTGTGGTGAATCTAGAAGTCAAGGGGTGGAGAGGCATTTTGGTAGAAGGCGCTGATTATTGCATTGTTTGTTGAAACTGTGCTTTCAGGAATAATTACAGTTTCTTAGCCTTCCTTTTGACTTTAGTCTTTGTGGTAGGAAAGAAGCCCCTACTGCTTTTGGTATGAAAAACAATCATGGAGGTGCTTTTTTTTTTTCTTTTCAGTTTTCCCATTTCCCCCACAGGTGACAAGAATACCAAATATGCAATATGGCAAAGAGGACAAGAGTCTTTAATATCTTGAGCTCAGACTAAGAGGTCCAAGATCAAAAGCATAGTTCAGCAATTGACCTCAGTTTTCTAGAGGGGAGAAGGATGTAATGGGCAGTGGGAAAGGATTTCTCTCTCTCTCTCTCTCTCTCTCTCTCTCTCTCTCTCTCTCTCTCTCTCTCTCTCTGTCTCTGTGTGTGTGTGTGTGTGTGTGTGACAACTTTAGGTGTCTCTAACTTCCATTTGTGTTTTTCAGGTCTCCATGAAGGGAGATGCTGGCAGCAGCTTGCAGATGGTCTCTGGATGAGGGTGTCTGTATCCCCTCCTATGCCTGAAGTCACTGGCTTTGTGTTGAGATCTTCGAATGGGCCAGGACAGAGACACGTACTCCATAGGAACTGGTAGATGTCCCAAACCAGAGCTAAGCTGCTCCCTGCTCCGGAGAAATGGATGTGAACGACTTCCCAGCACACCACTGGCTGGGAGAGCTTTAGTATCTCCGTGAATCACCTGATCCAGGCAACCACACTATGACCAGTTTCAGCCGTTAGTACTTGGTGGCTCATAGAGTGAAAATCCAGCCTAAACCGTTTAGTCGCTGGGAAGCTCAGGCACTGTGCAGTTGCTTGGTGATGACACATACACAGGTAACATGGCGATTGTAAATTTGCGTCACTCTCAAGTTGTCAGCATAAGGAGAGAAAACCACACGCAGCTTGGAACTTGGGGTGTTACACAACGCACTTCATTGTGCATGCCAGGCTCAGTATTCAAGGATCTCTTACAGTGAGGCATGGCTAACAAAAGAGGAAATATTTTTTCAAAACAACAGAAGTAAAGGACAGCAAGAGCGTGCTAGAATTTACAATGCTCTCTCTTGTCACAAGTTGCCAGTCGGGATAATTCTGTCTTTCTGCGAATGTTTCTGTACATATGTATCTGAGTGTTTCCTGGTTGCCATTGACATCCCAGACTAATGTGTCTCTACTTCCTAGACTGTTTTCCAGGTTGCCTGATTCAGTAGCTCTCCCACTCCTGACTATAACTACTTTTACTTAGACATTATGCCAATTTCATTTTCATAAAATTATACCTGGAAGAATGTAGACAACCCTTGGCTTCATATCCTTTGGGTTGTAGGTACCAAATATTTATTGATTTCGAATCAAAAAATTTAGCCTCTCTGTTTGTTGTGGCCATTTTATAGCTTCTTGGGTAAGTTTAAGGAAATTGGAAAGTTAGGATGACTATATATTTAGTTGCAGGGACATTTTATATTTCATGTAATGTAAGAATAGAAAACAGTACAAGCCTATATTATCCCGAGGAAATGGCAGAGGGGAAGAGCGGGCCTTCATTTGCTGATGGAAACACTCGTATTGTCTGAATTTATTATAATAAATATAAATATTAATTCAAAACACCCCGGTTTTAATTTTGCACACTCTTCTCACACCTGCTCTAGATATTGAATGAAAGAGACAGAGAACACAGCATGTCAAGTTTTTTTCCATTTGTTTTCATCTATCTTTCAAAATAAAAATGAAAACAAAGAAGAATGTAGCCAAAATAGGTTTATTTATTGAAATTCTAAGAGATTGCAGGAATATTTTTTTCCCACTGGGATATAAAAAAATTCAAGTTTCAGTTAAAAAAAAAGATAGAGAGCAGATGCAGTCACAGAAGCCTCAAACCTTCTAGACTTACGTACCTTTTAACGAGATGAAAGTAGCATTTTAAAGTCTCCGCGGTCAGAAAAGCAGTTTGAGGTGTGCGGTTACCACACTGCCTCAGCTTTTTGGCTGGAGAGCTATTTCAGACCTCTTTGTGGTATGTTTGGCAATACACTTAAAAGATTATTCCTTAAGCTACTAATAATCCAGCTTCAGGCAATTTTCTGTCTGTCTGTCCAGCCGCCTATTCTTTCTTTGGTTTCCAAAAAACCCCAAATGAACAACGTGAATCACAACAACAACAACAAAAAAGGAAGACAGGGTAATCCTCTTCTGAGTTCCCCCCGAGTTTCAGACTGTTCTGAAGTTACTAGAAGGCTAATGTACTCTTGGTCCATGTCAACACTAATTTTTAAGCTCCTTTCTGGGGGTGCCGGGACGCGACAGGAGGTGGGAGGTAATGTAGAGTGGAGTCATTGTGGAAGCGCCGTGGCTTCCTTTGTGTTTTAATCTGTCTGTTTCAGGGGTCTAATTTAGATTAGTGAAGACAAATCTCTTTAGAGCTTGATGTTTGGTTTTCTGTAGGTTCCCTTTACGGCATGTGGCTCTAATGAGTTCAGCTAGAGACAAAACTAATGTGGAGGACTGTTAGGTAGAGGCAGCCTACACAAAATAAAATCATTTAGGGCTGACTTCCTCATTGATGAAGCCCGTTTATCCAGGATCCCTATTCCTGAGGAAACAGATTTTTACACACACACACACACACACACACACACACACACACACACACACACACACACGAGTCTAATGAGAAATTATTTTTAAAACTATTTTATCACACAACTGGGGGATCATCTGTAATCTTCCTCAATGTTTAGGGTTGTGATAAGCTTTTAAGTGAGTAAAATTTTTTGAGGCCACCAATTGTTTGACTGGGCAGTATTCTTTATCCACATTGGGCCCTGCATATTTAATCATCATTTCTTTGAAGCAAATCTACCCCTGGTGGTGACAATATTGCTGGAGAAGACTTTGGAGGTGTATACCTCCATCTTCAAATGGGAGCTGCAGTCCGCTTACACCCTGTGACTTAAAGTCTTTTCACTCTCCCAGCGCTGATTTCTTCAGCTCCACTGAGGAAGAATTAATAGTACTTATCTCACTGGGTTGTTGGGAGGACCTTAAAGAACTAGGGAGACTTTTGTGGAGAAAAATCCATATGCTTGGAATTTCTAATGTGTGCTGGTGGCTTTCACCTGCACAACTCCAGCTTATTTATCTTGGCTCTTCTTCTCTACTCAGTTGTACACACACACACACACACACACACACACATACACACACACATACACATACCTCAAATCAGTCTCATACAGTCCTACCTCATTTTCTTATCACTGCTAATGGTTAACAATGCCTAAACACAGTTAAAGCTCAAAACCTTTATTCCTGGGTGAATGAATACACTGTCAGGCATAACCCTGTATCACTCTGAGAGAGAGGTGAACCAACTTCTCTAGCACTGACTCTAAGAGGTAAACCTGCCTCTCCAGGTAGCCCAGCTGACAAGACCCGGTTCAACCCAGCTCTACGTGAGTTCATCCTTTCTATTATGCCTCACATTTTCTAGGATGTATACAACAGAAATTTATTTCCCACAGTTCTGGAGGTTGAAAAGTCCGAAAACCAGGTGGTGGAAGGTGTGGAGAAGGTTCTCAGTGAGAGCATTCTGACTTGTGTAGGTGATTGCCTTCTTGCTGCACAAGGATCGAGGAAAGCCTCAAGAGCTCATGAAGACTTCATTATCTCTCAAAAGACTCCATTACACTGAATGTCAGAACTTGAACACAGTTATGGCAGACCACTTACACAGAAGTGGAAAAAAGGCTAACAGCCCATAATGCTCTCTGCTACACATCTTTACATAAAAACATTCGCTAAGTGTCTCTTCCTACACCCTCTGTGTCTGTGTCTCCTTTTGGGGATTCTCCCCTCATAACCCTAGGGTTGAATCTTGGCTCCCGGATAAAGAATAATACAACCCAAGACTCAGAAAGCACACTGTAATTCCCAAGTTGCAGTGGTTGGTTGAGGGTGCAGAAATTCACCCAGAAAATCTGAACCCAGGGAAGCAAGGAGGCTTTGGCTGGGACTGCAAAGGGAAAGACACCACCTTTCCATTCCCACTCCCTACCTAAGCTGAGTGGATGATACGGTACAGAGGCTGCATCATTGCCGTTATCTCTACACATCTTGATTTGAAAGGCACTTCTTAACGATGGTATCTACTCATCAAGCTGCCTACTTACAAATCAATGTGGAAATTTCTTAGGCATTTCACAGTAAGGCTGAGAGTATGTTTCTCACCGCTCTTCTCCTAGGCCTAAGAAGCTGACTCTCCTGCTGCCATGGGTCAAGGCTCATGTCATATTCTAGTTTCCCTTGCATGGCCTGTTGTGTTACTTCAGACCATGGTGTCATGGTCCTGCCCAGGTTATCGTAGAAATCTCTCCTTTCAAAATGTGAATGAGGCTATGCCCTGGGTTTTGCTCAACATCCACTGGTAAGGTCTATAGTGTCAACCACTTGCTGTTCCTTCAGCCTACCAAGCAGCCTCTAAGGATTTTTGCTCTAACTATGTGTTTATGTCTGGATCTTTCCTTCACCAGATAATATGAAGCTTTGTCTGTTTCTCTATGCCTCTACTAAATGGCACTTTACTGAGGAGTCTTCATTCACCTTATTTGGAGCAGCAAGTCCTGTTTTCCCTCTTTAGGAACATGATATCTCTCTTCCATGCTTTGCTTTTCTTCATTTCACAAGCAGGCGTCTAAGCCATTTGTTCCTTTCCCATTTGACTTCCTTAGGTAAAACATAAGCCACATAAAGACAAGGCTGTGGTTTGAGGGTGACAGAAAAGGCTCCTGTGTTTCCAACTGATGCATGATTCCATCACTAATGTTTATCCTTCATTAATGGGTGAATCCATTGATAAATTCATAGCTGAATGGACCATTAAGTGGTGCAGCCTGGTTGAAAAAGTGGGTCACTGGGGATGCTCTTGAAGGACGTCTTGCCCTCTGAGCCTTTCTCCCCATTCTCTTGTCTTCTGGTCTGCAGTGAGGTGATGTCCACTTTACTACAGACTCCTTACTAGGGTGCTCTGAATTGAGACCAGTACACAGCGTGCAGGCAGCTATCTGACCATGCATTGAAACCTCGAAGCCTCTGCTACGATGACCCAAAATAAAGCCTTCCTTCTTCATATTGCTTCTATCAGATATTGTGTGGACATGTATGTGGATGGCTCATGTATACATGTGGATTTGTCTTCAGGTGTGTGTGTGTGTGTGTGTGTGTGTGTGTGTGTGTGTGTGTGTGTGTGTGTGTAGGTTAGACGTTGGTTACCTTATTCCCTTGAGACAAAATCTTCCACTGAACTGGAGCTCTTGGTGATCAACAAAACATAGGAAAAGTGATGACCACATTTCCTGAGCCTGTCTCTTATTCTGCTTAGTAGAGACTGCTTCCTCAATTGGGATAAGAAGTCAATGACGCCAAGTGCTAAACTCAAAATGAGAATGAGATGGAAGGTTGTAAAAGTGATATTGTCCTAATTCTTTCTTTGACTTTCATTAAAAACACTTCGTGTATCATGAAAGAACAGCTTGCGTTGTGGTCCAGTTTGTGTTCTTAGTCTCCTTGACTATGTTTCAAAGCTCAGTTCTCATTCAATCCTCCTTACTCTTTGGTTCCAATTTCCCTCTCTCTTTTTTTGCTCTTCTGTACTCTACTCCACTGTGCTACACCAGTGACCTCAAGCATGTTAGTTATAGTTGACAAAGTTGCTTCTCAACATCAAAGGAGATGCTGTCACAAGTCTTGCCCCAGCTATTCTGAAGGAAGTAATTAGATAATTTTAACACCTGAATTAAGGCTTTGCATTTTTGGCAACTTTTGTATATGAGCAGATAACATAGACATGAAAAGATAACATTATTTGTCACTAGGAAAATAGAAAATTAATGTAACAGTGAGATAGTACAACAAAGTCCCACTTAAGGAATTCTGGAGATCTGGGACAGCTTCAAAAGATGTCACATGAATGTTCACAAGCAACCAACTATGATCACTGTTGATTGTCCAAGAAAATAGACACACATGTTTCATTATATGCTTACTGTGTGTTAGAGACTGTGCAAAGTGTGTGTGTGAGTATTCTTTCATTTAATGATCAAAACACCAGGCTGGGGGTGCAGCTTAGTAAAAGAGTGGCTTGCCTTGCTATGTGATATTGTAGGCTCAGTTCTTAGTTTTGACAATAGATCAAATCAAATACCAGCCAAAACAATTCTGTGAAGAGGATATTAGCTTCATTTTAATCACACATTTCAAGCTGGGTATGGTGGTGCATTCCCAGAATACCAACTGATTGGAGGACTGAGGCAAGAGATGTGAGTTTGAGGCCACACTAAATATCACAGCAAGATCTCAAAACCAACCAACCAATCTACTAAACATTTTTGAAGATTTGATTTTGTTGTTTTTAGTCACGTGTCTGTGTCTGTGTGTGGTTATGCATATGTATATGCCCATGGGGAGCAGAGGCATATGATCCTTTGTAACTGAAGCTACAGGCTGTTGTAAGCTCTCTGTCATGGGTGCTGGGAACTGAACTTGAGTACCCCACAACAGCACTAAAGATTCCTAAATGCTGAGCCATCTTTTTAGCCCCACACAAAATA